TACTTCTTCCATGACAGATTTGTTTGTTTTTCTGGCAGTCCATGGTATATTCCATATTCTTCAGCAACACCATAATTCAAAGGCATCAATTCTTCCATCTTCCATATTCATTGTCCAGCTTTCACATGCATTATGAGGTGACTGAAAATACCACGGCTTGGGTCAGGCACACCTAGTCCTCAAAGTGACATCTTTGCGTTTTAAGACTTTAAAGAGGTCTTTTGCAGCAAATTTGCCCAATGCAATACAGCATTTGATTTCTTGACTGCTGCTTCCATGGACATGATAGACTGTGGATCCAAGTAAAATTAAATCCTTGATAACTTCAATCATTTCTCCATTTATCATGATGTTGCTTATTGGTCCAGTTGTAAGGACTTTTGTTTTATGTTGCAGAGTAATCCATACTGAAGGCTGTAGTCCTGGATATTCATCAGTAAGTGCTTCAAGTCCTCTTAGCTTTCAGCAAGCAAGGTTGTGTCATATGCCTATCTCAGCTTGTTAATGAGTCTCCTTCCCATCCTGATGCCGTGTTCTTTTTCATATATTCCAGCTTCTTGGATTATTTGCTCAGTATACAGATCAAATAAGTATAGTGAAAGGATACAACCCAGACGCACACCTTTTCTAATTTTAAACCACGCAGTATCTCCTTGTTCCGTTCCAATGACTGCCTTTTGGTATATGTACAGGGTCCGCATGAGCACAATTAAGTGTTCTGGAATTCCCATTCTTCACAGTATTATCCATAATTTCTTGCAATCCACACAGACAATGCATTTGCATAGGTAATAAAACACAAGTAAATGTCTTTCTGGTATTCTCTACTTTCAGCCAAGATCCATTTGACATCAGCAATGAAATCCCTCATTCTACGTCCTCTTCTGAATCTGGCTTGACTTTCTAGCAGTTCCTTGTGGATGTACTGCTGCAAACATTCTTTAATTATCTTCAGCAAAGTTTTACTTATGTGTGATATTAATATATTGTTCAATAATATCCACATTCCGCTGGATCACCTTTCTTTGGAATGGGCACAAATATGGACCTCTTCTAGTTGGTTGGCCAGGGAGCTGTCTTGCAAATATCTTGGCATACACAAGTGGGCACGTCCAGCGTTGCATCTGTTTGTTGAAACATCTCCATTGGTATTCTGTCATTTCCTGGAGTCTTGTTTTTCACCAAGGCCTTCAGTGTAGCTGGGACGTCTTCCTTCGGTACCATCGGTTCTTGATCATATGCTACCTCCTGAAATGACTGAACTTCAACCAATTCTTTTTGGTACAGTGACTCTGTGTGCCCCCCGCCCCCATCTTCTTTTGATGCTTCCTAGATTGTTCAGTATTTTGCCCATAGAATTCTTCACTATTGCAACTCAAAGCTTGAATTTCTTCTTCAGTTTTTTCAGCTTGAGAGAGATGCCAAGTGTGTTCTTTCCTTTTGGTTTTCTAACTCCACGTCTTCGCACATTTCATTATCATACTTTGTCTTCTCGAGCGCCCTTTGGAATCTTCTGTTCAGCTCTTTTACTTCATTTCTTCCATTCACTTTAGCTACTCTACATTCAAGAGCAAGTTTCAGAGTCTCTTCTGACACCCATTTTGTTCTTTTCTTTCTTTCCTGTCCTTTTAATGACCTTTTGCTTTCTTCATGTATGATGTCCTTGATGTCATTCCATAACTCATCTAGTTTTTAGTCATTAGTGTTCAATGTGTCAAATCTATTCTTGAAATGGTCTCTAAATTCAGATGGTATATACTCAAGGTTGTACTTTGGCTCTCATAGACTTGTTTTGACTTTCTTCAGCTTCAGCTTGAACTTGCATATGAGCAATTGATGATCTGTTCTACAGTCACCACCCCCCCACCCCCCGCATTTTTCTGACTGATGAAATTGAGCTTTTCTATTGTCTCTTTCCACAGATGCAGTCAATTTGATTCCTGTGTATTCTATCTGGCATAGTCCACGTGTATAGCCACCATTTATGTTGTTGAAAAAAGGTATTTGCAATGAAGAAGCACTGGTCTTGCAAAATTCTATCATGTACTCTCTGGCGTCATTTCTATCACCAAGGCCGTATTTTCCAACTACTGATCTTCTTCTTTCCAACTTTTGCATTCCAATCACCAGTAATTATCAGTGCATCTTGATTGCATGTTTGATCAATTTCAGAGTGCAGAAATTGGTAAAAATCTTCAATTTCTTTATCTTTGGCCTTAGCAGTTGGTGCAAAATTTCAATAATAGTTGTGTTTACTGGTCTTCGTTGTAGGTATATGTATATTATCCTATCACTGACAGCACTGTACTTTAGTATAGATCTTGAAATGTTCTTTTTGATGATGAATGTGATGCCATTCCTCATCAATTTGTCATTCCCATCATAGTAGACTATAGGATTGTCCAATTCAAAATGGCCAATACCAGTCCATTTCACCTCACTAATGCCTAGGATATTGATGTTTATGCGTTCCATTTGATTTTTGATGATTTCCAAGTCTCCTAGATTCATGCTTCGTACATTCCATGTTCCGATTATGAATGGATGTTTGCAGCTATTTCTTCTCATTTTCAGTCATGCCACATTAGCAAATGAAGGTCCCGAAAGCTTGACTCCATCCACGTCATTAAGGTTGACTCTAGTTCCAGGAGGCAGCTCTTCCCCAGTCATATTTTGAGTGTCTTCCAACCTGAGGAGTTCATCTTCCAGCACTACATTAGACAGTTTTCTGTTGCTATTCATAAGATTTTCACTGGCCAATTTTTTACAAGTAGATCATCAGGTCCCTCTCTTCCTAGTCTGTCTTACTCTGGAAGCTCCGCCGAAACTTGTCCACCATAGGTGACCCTGCTGGTATTTGAAATACTTACTGGTGGCATAGCTTCCAGCATCACAGCAACATGCAAGTCACCACAGTACAACAAACAGACAGGCAACTGGTGGAGTAAGCCGAGTTCTGAGAATGGCTCATTGAATTTAGCAACATAAGGGCATTGGTGACATTAACAAGGACAGTTTTGGTGGAAGGTGGAAGGACTATCTGTTTGAAATAGGGTTAAGAGAATAGGAGTAAAAGAATTGGTGATGGTAAGTATAGAGAACTCTTTTAAGGAATTCTACCACAATGGGTAACAGAGAAATGGTGAAGAAGCTAGCAGAAGAAATACTAGAGGACTGTTGTAAATGCAAGAAATAACAGCATATCCACATGCAAATGGAATGATTTATCAGATAGGGAGAAACTGATGATGTAGGAAAGAGATGGGAGAAATGCTGCAGTGAGAATCTTGAGTAGGTGAGAGGGCATGGAAGTTTGAATACAAGCAGAAAGAACGGATTTAGGAGACTCGATAGTTCATCCATAGCAACAGGTAGAAAGGCAGAGTATTAAATAGTGGGCTGTAGATAGTAGTAGGTAGATATGGTAGTAAAAGTCTGAGAAATTTTCTTCTGATGATTTCAATTTTCTCAGTGAAGTAGGAGATAAAGTGATGAGGATGGAGGAAAAGGTGTTAAAAAGGAAAAAAAGATTGGCTACGATTCTGTAATAATGATATCTACCTCCTTTACAATAGTAGAATAAAGTTTGTAAAGGTCTGACCAAAACACAAATGTGACATAATTTCTTGGCCTCGGTATTACTGTGCTTTTGTCCATTTTACTTAAACTTTTGAGTTACTTTTGTACTTTATATCAATAACCATAATAGCTATTCATTCCTTAAGTATATTTTTGGGGTAATTAAGATAGGTGCTTTGAATAAAACATGGCTGTATCTTATACTAGCTGGCCTTTCGCCTATTGTTTAGGATAATCATTAAAAAATCAGTTTCCACTGAGTCGATTCCAACTCATGACAACCCTACGTGTGTCAGGGTACAACAGTGCCTCATAGGGTTTTCGATGCTGACTTTCTGGAAGCAGACTGCAAGGCCTATCTTCCAAGGTGCCTCTGGGTGGACCTGAACTGCCAAACTTTTAGTCAGCAGCAAAGCACGTTAACCATCTGCCATCACCCAGGGACTCCAGGATAATCATTAACCATAATTAAATCATACTTTTCTAACTCTGGTGCACCTTACACAGAGTTTTCCATCTGAAATGTAATTCCATTATTAATCAAAGCTTATCATTATTCTTGACAATTTTTGGAAAAGGGGGAACATATTTTAAATCAATGATAAAATGTCTCTTCTACACAGCTCTCACACAGGTCTCGTTTTAATTCAACAGAAAATTTATCTAGCCATTTTGGGAGTATCAGACAGAAAAGAGCAAGTATATGTGCCTGGTAATCCTAGACAAATTTTAAATTTTGACAGAAATTTTTTTTTTTTTAAATTGTACTTCAGGCAAAGGCTTACAGAACAAATAGTTTCTCATAAAACAGTAGTACACATACTGTTTTATGACATTGGTTAACAACCCCACAACATGTCAACCCTCTCCCTTCTCGACCTTTTTCCCTTTTTTTTTTTTTTGGTGAAAATATACATAGCCAAAGAAACACCGTTTCAAAAATTTCTACATGCACAGTTCAGTGACATCGACTACGCTCTTCCAATTGTGCTGCTATTCTCACTTTAGATGAAGGCGTACAGAACAAAATAGTTTCTCATTTAACAGTTAGTACACATGTTGCCCTATGACAATGGTTAACAACCTCACAACACATCAACACTATCCTTACTCAACCTTGGGTTCCCTAACACCAGCCTTCCTGTCCCCTTCTGCCTTCTGGCCCTTGTCCCTGGACTGCTGTGCCTCATTAGTCCCATTTGGTTTCATGGGGCTGAAATTTTGACAGAAATTTTTGAGTAGAGTGCACAGACCAGAAACATGAAATACTTAGTGCTTATTAATGGGACAGAAATACATAATTTCTTGATTATTACTAACTCAAATACATTTCAAAATTAGGAATAAATTAAAACAATCGGACATTTCTCATTTGTTCAGAAACTGAAAACCAAAATTTCAAACCACTATCTTCAGTTTACCTTACTGCCGATGATTGACCGTACTTCATCGTCTGGTGATGTGGGAGTCCCAGATATATCTGGATTACTATTACTAAGGCTCCGGGAGCGATTTAAATTAAGGCTTGCAGGTCTCACAGCAGATCTAGCCATTGTGGCATAATGCACTGATCCTCCCAAACCCCCAGGGCCTAGAAATGCATATAAAATAGCACATAGTTAAACAAACAAAAAAATTAATCAGGAAAATACATTTAAAAAAACTGACACTATAAAATTTCACAAAGGTCATGAAATGTCTATTTCTAAATAAAAAAATACTATGAATAAATAAATAAATAAAAACACTGAAGACCTAATGATAGTTACCAAGATACTCTATTTTATAGTAGTTGCCAAAACCATATGATTATAAATAAAATCATTCTCTCTTCAATTTTTCTATGATTATATGTTACATGTACAATTAAACACATTGATAGGAAACACACACAAACACACACACCACCTTCAACTAGATATAGGTGTATCTAGGACCCAAAATGCTCTAGCCAATGTTTCTTCCTTTTTCCCACCCCTCCTGCTCTGTTCTTTGATACACAGTCATCACACGGAAAGCCAATATACGGTAAACATTCTCTTAAATGAGACTATGCTTTATTTCCCTATCTTCATCAGTGACAATTTGAACGATAACAAAATGGCATCTTTTTTGATATGTGAGTATATGTATATGTATAATTCTCCTAAGAGCCTAGGTAATATAGAAAGCAAAGGATCTAAAATCAAGCCTGACTACACCTTTAAACAATGTTCGATGAACATGAAAACATCTAGCAATTATAACCAAAATCTATCCCCATTATTCTTATCTAGAGAATCTTTCTGAGTGTCATATTTACAAATGATACACACCTGCCAACTAATTAATTTATATAGTCTTTCATGTCAGCATGTAAAGAAGATGCTTTTAAAAATCTGTGGAATTCTAATAGTATATTAAATAAAAGGGTAAATGGAGAAGTTATTACACTTACTTATATATTCAGAGCCTCAAAGCTATAATTTCAAAAGTCAAGATAGAAAATTATGAACCAGAATACCAGAGTCAATTACTTCTCTTTTTACAATTAAGAAATAAAGTGGGCTAAAACATAGATTACTATTATGCTTCATTTATATAATGAATATCATAATTATTTTTCACCATTCTTAAGATTAACATGGCCAATATCTGGAAAAGCCTACTTACCATTATCACTAGTGATGAATGATGGCTCATACATACAAATATGTGAACAGGTCGAAGTGTACGCACAATGTAATCATTAGCTCACTAACTGAACAACTAAAAAGGCATACAAAACTAAGACATACCTCCTTCTCAACCACCACTATCACCAATGTCACATAAAAGGTGAATAACTACTTTGGGCTTTAATACTCAAAAAGGCTATTTTATAGAATTGACCATGATGAGATCAGAACTTCTTTAGAGAACAATTCATTATATTACTGTGTGTTTCACAGACTTATCAGGGAACTACCGAGCAACTCTATTTCTTCTTCCATGCTCAATGACACTCCAAATGACAAACAAATATAAGATTTCATTTTTCTTCTCTTAACAAGGAATGATAAAATGCCTCCAGAGACATAAGAGGTTATTTTCAAAGTTCATTTCTAAGAATTAATTCAACCAATATCTTTATTTCAAAGTAAAGGAAGCCATATATATAATCATGCCAAGAAATGTAACTTACTTATCCTTTCAATTCCAGTACCTAGCATAGTGCCTGGCACTTCGCTATTAAATGAATGCATCACACTATGAACTAAAAGACCATCTTAATCCTGCCATGGACACAAAATCTATGCAAGACAGTTTCATGGTTAAAAAAAAAATACCTGGTGATGGTGAATTAGGATAAGTACTTGGTAGGCGAAAAACATAATAGATATATGATGCAAGTAGACTGTTTCTGCCATGCTGGTCATGATTTCCTTCTAAGTTTTTATGAAGTCGATTTATAATCGATGCCATGGCTTCAAAAGATGCTTGACCTAGATTAACTTTTAAAAAGGAGGAAAATATTTTTGCTTTAAGGTTTTTACACTCTAAGTTCCAAGAAGATCAAGGTTTTGAAATCTCTATATTCTTTAAGCATAGTGATTATACACAGTAAGTGTGTAAAGATATTAATTTGTGTTGAATTTAATGACATATTGTATTCACTAAACTAAAATCTTTTCTAAACAAAATGAAGGAAAAAACCTCATTTTATTAATTTAAAATAAAGTCTATGGATTTGATTAGTTAAAAATCATTGCTTAACAGATACCCATTATTTTGTAAAAACAATAGAAAGTCCATGATAAGAAAATAAGTAATCTATCTTGTGTATCAGCTGTAAAAAGCAACTTCTCATTTTACAGATGACATGGAAAACCTAAATAGCATACAATGATCACATATTACTTTTTAAAGAAAATATATCAACAGTAAAAATGGATTATTAAAAACACTAACTTAAGAAAAGGGAATACTGAATAAGCAATTTGATTGAAATGAATCATTTTATAGTAAAATCAGAAGAAAAAAACAGGCTAGAAAAATGAGCTGAGGCAAAACTGCATAGGACCTTAAATGTCAGGCTAACCAAAACCTGCCCAGTCATTCAAGTGAGTATATAACAAGAATTCTGCAAAAACTGTAGAATTCTGGTAGGAGAGTGGATAAATGAGTGACTGAACAGCAATTACATACTGAGCAATAGAGCCTCAGACTTTATAATTAATTTAATCAAGACAGGAAATTATGAGCTGATAATGAAGCCAATTAAGTTTTCCTAAAAGTGGAATAATAAGATAAAGCAGACATTTAGGAAGATTAATTTACAGACACTGAACTAGAGAAGGGAAACCCTGGTGACATAGTGGTTAAGAGTTCAGCTACTAATCGAAAGGCGGGTAGTTCGAATTTACCAGGCGCTCCTTGGAAACTCTATGAGGCAGTTCTACTGTGTCCTATAGGGTCGCTATGTGTCAGAATCGACTTGACGGCAATGGGTTTGGTTTTTTGCTTTTTTTGGAACTAGAGAAGAAAGAGACTAGACAGAGAAACCTGGGTGTGGTTAGCAATCTTACCTTTGTTCCTGGTTAATTCCTTTTCCTTCTTCTCATAGTAGCTATACCAAATCATAATCCTTTTCAAAACTCAGGTCACCTTACTGCCTTCTTAGCAAATCTTGCCTTCTATCTCACAGAAGAAACTTATAAAGCATGAAAGTTCTCAACTTTTAATTACAAATTTATCAGAATGTAAAACTACCTTTATCTCCTTTCTAAAGAAAGAAGTATCCTTCTCCTATTTAAGAGTGATCTATCCAGTTTCACTCTTATCTTACAAATTTGCTTCATTAATTAAACCATCTCTCACCCCTATATCTTATATTTTTCTCCCCACCCCCCCAACTAGTTCCCTAAATAAACATGCTCAAATCTCTCTATTCTTATGCCCTACTCAATCCTGCTTCCTCTTTTAACCAAATTTCTTAAAAGAGCAGTAAATGCTTCTTGTATTCTTTTCATGAGCCCTGGCAGCCCAGTGATTAAGTGTTTGCCTGCTAACCAAGAGGTCGGCAGTTCGAATCCACCAGGCGCTCCTTGGAAACCCTATGGGGCAGTTCTACTCTGTCCTATAGGGTCACTATGAGTCGGAATTGACTCAACAGCAACAGGTTTGGTTTTGTTGTTTTTGGTTTACTCCTTAATTCACAGTAATCTGGTTTCTACCTTCACCATTTGACTAAAACTATTCTTGTTAATTTCGGTGGCCACTTCTCAAGTATAATAGATAAGAGAGGGAATCTGGAGCCAGTTGCTTAGGTTCAACTCTTGGTCCACAACAATAGTTAAGTGACCTTAGCCAAATTCTTTTAGGTATCATGTTCATCATTTTACTTATTCATGAAATGGTGGCAATAATACCTACCACAGAGAGCTGCTGTGAGGATGTCGTACTTTAATAAAGCACATAGCACTATGCCTGGTATATACTAAGTGCTGTGCAAGTGTTTTCTATTATTGTTATTATTTTCCTTATACACACTACAACATGAACAATGTTAACTTTTTTTTTAAACCTTCTCCTATAGGGCCACTATAAGTCAGAATCAATTCGACAGCAAGGGTTTTTTTTTTTTTACGGTCTCCTTTGACTTCTATAACAACACTTTTGTCTCTATAATATCTCATAACCCACCCTCTCTTCATCCCTCTATCACTTGGCTTTTATCAGGACCTCATCTTCTTTTGTATGAAATTCTACAAGATTGCTCCTTTGTCTCACTGCCTCCAGATTTTCCCAACTTCATCCCGTCTCCACACAGCAGAGTCATCTTTTTAAAATGCAAACTGGGCCACATCGCTGCCCTAATTAAGACCAGACCCTTCACAGCCTCCTGATTGGCTACAGAATAATAGTCCAAATTCCTTAAAGTGGCATGGAAGACCCTACTTCATCTCCCTCTCCAATATCATCTCTAATCACTAGCCTGCCAACTTATAATTATTTATAATTTCCCCTAAATGTCTAGGCTCATTTATCTGTGTATGTACTATGTACATGCTATTTCATTTTCCTAGACTAGTCTTTATCTGTTAGACTCTTACTCAATTTTAAATTCTCAACCCCAAAATTACCTCCATTTGTAAGTTTCCTATAAAAAAAATCCCAAGGAATTGATACTTCTCTCCTTTGTACTGCCACTCAACACAAAATTTCTACATCAGGCTAGCTGATACGAAAATTTGCACAACTTTTACAGAATTTTGCAGAACTTGAGTGAAAGCTATGAATAAAAGTAGAGGAATAAACCTTGAAAAAACAGAATATAGAGATTCTGAATAAGTGGAAGAAAGAAGAGCTATATTAAATAGAAGATAGCAAACAGCAAAATTTTAGACTAGATACATTATATGCTCTGTAGAATGTAACATGACTTATGTGTTTGCCTGTTTCCCTAGGGAGTCTGTGAGATCCTTAAAGTCAGGAACTATGCCTTGGCCAGTGCCTATGAGTGGCTGGTACACAGTAAGTGCTTAATAAATATTTCATAAATGAATAAATTAGTTTCTATAATTTGAGCAGAAGTCTATGTGGTATATTTTATAAAAACAAGCAAAAGAAAATTACACATTTTCTGGTATTAGAAACAAATAACCCAAAAATATGAGGCACACCACACCCTTTGTAGATAGTAAATAAGAATCATGGTTCTATTTCTACAAAAGATAGGAGTGTCAAATTATAAATGTCATCAATCTCCACACATAAGTAAGTTACCTATTTGGCCAGCAATGACAGGAGGTCTAACAACTAAAAGAATCAGTTTATCAAGCAGAAGATGAAGAAATCGAACCACTGGTTCCAACTGAGATGAATTCAATGCTGATATACTGCTCTTCAATTCATTTTCTAAATTATTTTCCATGATTCGCATATCCCCTATTCGCACCGGGAACATGTGTTCATCGAGAGCATTGACCAGAGCAAAAAATTTGTCAAGATAAGGATCCTAAAACAAAAAATGAACAAAAATACTAAACAATTATAACTCTTCAAATTTTCAAATACTAAAGGACTATGGACCACTTTTACTTAGGTAACAATGAAAGTAATAATAGCACAGCATCACATTTATGATTGTTATATTGTTCTAATCTGATGTATGTATATTTAAATGAATAAAAAATAACAATTTATTGACCTCTAACAATATATCCAGTATATTTCAAAGAGCTACAAAAAAGTCCAAAACATAAGAAACATTTATTATCTTCAATTCATTCTCTTCAAAAGCATATAACACATGATCAATTTTATTTACATAGTTAAAAAATTTATGAACTATTGAGTATTAATCATCAAGACCAGAGCGCTCCACAGACTTTCACTTTATTCTTTCCCTAAAATGGACTTAGGAATAGGAAAAAAACAGGCATAAAAAATAACATATTTGTGTATTCAACAAGATATACTGTGATACTAAGAATACTTCCATCAAGGAAAAGAATATGTTTCAACAGTATACTGTAAAGTCAATTTTTTCATTATCAAAGCAATAAGGAATACAGCAGGCAGAGGACACGTCTACTAACACAGAAAGGGAAACCCTCCAATGAAGTCATTCTTCTGCTGGGGTCTGCCTGTGTACTGCTGAATAAAAGCTTTTGTTTTAATAAAAAAAAAAAAAGGAGGCGGGGTAAGATGGCGGAGTAGTCAGACGCTTCCAGTAGACCCTCTTAAAACAAAGACCCAAAAACACAAGTGAATCAATAATATGCAACAATCTAGGATTCCTGAACATCTAAGGCAAAGGTGAAGAACCAGACTGAGTGGCAGCAAGAAGGAGAGAAGGTCCGGAAGCAGCGAGGAGTTGCCAGACCTGACTCGGCAACAGCCTGAGCCCTTCAGGCCTGATCAGCTCCTGGGTGAGCAGTGAGGCAGGCAAGTAGCAACACTTGGGAGGTGTATTCTGCACTGGGAGAGACACAGCTGCAGAGTCTGCGTAGCCACCCAGAACCAGACAGAAGCAGCCCTAGATCAGCGAAAGATAAGTACTTGCATACAGCCTACTGCGTGAATAAAAAACACCACCCTTAGGGAAAAACCTCTCTCCCATTTACCTCCCCGCTCCCTGCTCTGCACTGGGTCCTGGACTGGTTTCAGCAATCGCCGAGTCCCCTGGGCCAGAAGTAGGATCCATCACACGCCCTGAGCCATTCTCCTGCTCTTGGAGAGTCAAAAAATTTTTAAAAAGGGGCAAAAATAAACTGCCAGTTCTGCTAAGCCAGGAACCCAGGGTAGGCACAGCTCCTTTGCCTAGGCACAGGCATAAGGGATCCATGAATTTTGAATGCCCTTCTCCCTGCAGAGACATATATGGGCCCATTTCAACAGCATAGGCATTCATTACCACAGTACAACAGGGTATATACCTGAAGTCTAACTTTAACTGTTTCAACTGTGAAGTCGCAGATTTGTGACATTTGACACTGCTCTGCCCATTAAGCAGGGTCTTCACCTACCCACATCAGGGGCCTGAGGACTGGTGGCTCCACCCACGCCACCTAGCCACCTGCGATAAGGGCCCAAGAATAAGAGGTGCCCCCCGGTTCTTACAGCAAACAGCACTGGGGGCTCGTAGTCCTGCTGCAAAACCTACCCACCTACGCACTCTAGGGAACAGGGACACACCTTCCTCCAGAACCCTCGAGGGTGGCCGTCAGCCCCCTGCCTTACTCAGAGTGTTTCCCCCTCCTGCAGCCAAATGCCTGTGCCAACACTAATCGCCCAAGCCTGTCTAGGACTACAGGTAAGAGCGTACACCACACACTTGGTGGCTATCTACCTGGGCACTTGAGCTGAATCCATATGGGAGAGTGGACAGACTCCTGAGCTCACATACCTACTAACAGATCTAACCACCTGGTGACAGGACATTAGAGCTTCAAAGGTGCCAAAAATCAAACTATCTCATACCAGCATCCTATTTTGGCATGTCAAAACAAAACAAGAAGCTGGACACAGTAAGCAAACATAAAAAAAAAATATATAATAATTTATTGATAGCTCGGAGACAACAGTCAATATCAAATTACATAAAGAGGCAATCCAAGATGGCTTCAGCAAGCTCCCAAAATAAAGAAACTAGAAATTTTCCAGAAGAGGAAAATTTCTTGCCATTACCGGAGGCAGAATACAAAAGATTAATATATAGAACTCTTCAAGAAATTAGGAAGGAAATTAAGCAAAGTGAAGAACATGCAATAGAGGAAATTAAAAACATTAGAGAACAGCATAATGACAAATTTAACAGGATGCAAGAATCTATAGAAAGACTGCAATCAGAAACCCAGAAGATTAACAATAAAATTTCAGAAATTAGGCAACTCAATAGAAAGTCATAGGAGCAGAAATGAGGCAAAGCAAGTCAGAATTAGTGAGACTGAAGATAAAAAACTTGACACCAACTTATTTGAGGAAAAATCAGATGAAAGTATTTAAAAAAATGAAGACACCCTAAGAATTATATGGGACTGTATCCAGAGGAATAACCTACGATTGATTGGAATACCAGAATTGGGAGAGGGGTGACAGAAAATACAGAGAGAATTCCTGAAGATTTGTTGGCAAAAAACTTTCCTGGTATCATGAAAGATGACAAGATACCTATCCAAGATGCTCATCAAAACCCATATAAGGTAGCTCGCAAAAGAAAGTCACCAAGACATATTATAATCAAAGTTACCAAAACGAAAGAGAAAGAGAAAATTTTAAGAGCAGCTAGGGATAAACAAAAAGTCATCTACAAAGGAGAGTCAATAAGAATACGCTCGGACTACTCAGCAGAAACCAGGCACCCAAGAAGGCAATGGGATGACATATATAAAGCCTTGAAGGAAAAAAATTGACAGCCAAGAATTATATATCCAGCAAATATCTCAAATATGATTATGAAATTAGGGCATTTCCAGATAAACAGAAGTTTAGGGAATTTGCAAAAACCAAACCAATACTACAAGAAATACTAAAGGGAGTCCTCCGGTTAGAAAATCAGTAACATCACATAACAACCCAAGACTAGAACACAGAACAGAGCAACCAGATATCAACCCAGATAGGGAAGTCACAAAAATAAATCAAAGCTAAAACACGGAAAATAGGGAAACAGATGTCAATATGTAAAAGATGACAACATTAAAACAAAAAGAGGGACTTAAAAAATGTAAACATAGACTTTGCATATGGAGAGGAAGTACAGGCAATACACAGAAATAAAAGACTGACATAAACTTAGAAAAACAGGGGTAAATATTAAGGTAACCACAAAGGAAATTAACAATCCTATAACTCAAAATAAAAAACTACAAAAAATATAAAAGATTCAACAAACACAAATCAACAACAATGAAAAACATGAAAATACATAAAGAAAAATGACTCAGCACAGAAAATAAAGTGGAACAAAGAAACTGTGAGAAACACACAAAAAGACATCAAAATGACACCACTAAACTCATACCTATCAATAATTACGCTGAATGTAAACAGACTAAATGTACCAATAAAGAGACAGAGAGTGGCAGAACGGATTAAAAAAACACAATCCTTCAATATGCTGCCTACAAGAGACACAACTTAGATTTAAAGACATAAACAAACTGAAACTCAAAGGATGGAAAAAAATATCAAGCAAACAACACTCAAAAAAGAGCAGGAGTGGCAATATTAATCTCTGACAAAATAGACTTCCAAGTAAAATCCACCACAAAGGATAGGCAAGGATACTATATAATGATTCAAGGGTCAATACACCAGGAGGACACAACTATAATAAATATTTACGCACCCAACGACAAGGATCCAAAATACATAAAACAAACTCTAACAGCACTAAAAAGAGAGATAGACAGCTCCACAATAGTAGTAGGAGACTTCAACACACCACTTTCGGTGAAGGACAGAATATTCAGAAAGAAACTCAACAAAGACACGAAAGAGCTAAATGTTGCAATCAACCAACCTGATCTCATAGACGTATACCAAACACTTCACCCAACAGCAATCAACTATATTTTCTTTTCCAATGCACATGGAACATTCTCCAGAATAGACCATATATTAGGTCATAAAGCAAGCCTTAACAAAATCCAAAGCATCGAAATATTACAAAGCATCTTTTCTGACCATAAGGCCATAAAAGTAGAATTCAACAACAGAAAAAGCAAGGGAAAAAAATCAAACACACGGAAACTGAACAACACCTTGCTCAAAAACTACTGGGTC